AGGGCAGAATGTGTTGGCACAGTCTTGGAGTGCCAAAGGGCCTGCTCCTGTGCTGTATTGTTCTTTGTTCTTTATGTACCATGACCTACCAAATGGCTTCTGTTAGCAGGCCTGTATACAACACTCAAGTGACCTCTAACATTTACCATTCCTCACCTCTATCTAGGCTGCTCCAATATCCTGGTCCTGCCTCTCTACTGTGCAAATATCATTCTTAATTAAAAAAGTGACTCCTCCATCATTTCCTAGCATCCTCTCCTTCCTAAATATTACATACCCTTCAAGATTCACATCCCAATACAAGTCATTCCACACCCACACATCAGTAATGGCCTCTAGATTATACTTGCATATCTCAATTTATACTACTAGTTCATCTGCGTTGTTTTGAATGCTACGTACATTCAAAGACAGTACCATAAGTTTTGCACTTTTAATCTGTAAGCATGCCATTATGTATTTGCCGTATGATAGCTTACTACCAATGATAAAATAAGTTGAACAGCACAAATTTCAATTATTGGTTTGACCAGCTCAATATAGACAGAATATGGGGCTTTGAAACTGAGCAATCATCACACACACAGATGCCCTATCATTTATTGGCACAAAACAGCTAATGAAAGAAAATAGGAAGTTGTGGAAAAGGAGTGGTAGATCATACAGCTGGCATCCTGAACATTAACTTGCTAATTCTAAAACTGCTTCTCTTTTCATCTAATCTAAGAAGGATTCAACAGGATCAGCACAAATATCTGCAAAAGGGCATGTGCACACTTCTTGTGACAACTCTCAAATGTGGAGCTCCAAAATTGATGGAATTACTAATATCTTTTGCCAGCATCTTGAACACTCTCTTTCAATGCAAGAATGTGAAAAGTTACATGTTCAATTCATGACATACAGTATTAAATAAGAAATCCAGAAATCAAGTCACATACGCAGGTCAATCTAAATGGCAAGCAGACTTGTTTATAAACTGCTAGCTGTCAATTTAACTGAATTAGGTTGAGATACAGTCTTGCCTATTTAATTCACTTTAATCACTGGATTTGCTGACACTGGGGATTGTTTGTGGTGTTCTCTGAATGAACATTTAACAGCAGTGTTATCTACAGTTAGATTTTCCAGCTACACTATTTACAGATTACATCTCAGATGTTTTCCCTACAATAATAAATGTTGAATAAATAAAGTGACAATCTGTAAACAGGTCGAACAACCTCTTTGTCATGCTTTAGCCATCATGGCTTAAGCTGTGTCTAAAGATGATTCACTAGTTTGATCCTGGGTACAGAAGGACAGTTATGAGGACAGTTTGAGTAGATTGGGCCTGTAGTCTTTGGAGTTCAGAAGAATGATAGGCAATCTTATTGAAACACATCAGCTTCTTTGGGGAGTTGACAGGGTAGTTGCAGAGAGGTTGTTTCCCCTTGTGGAAGAGTCCAGGACTAGACGGCATAATCTCAGAGTAAGGGATCAAATATTTAAGACATAGATAAGGAGGATTTTCTTCTTTCTGTAGAATCCTTTACCACAGAGGCTGTCAAGGCTAAGTAACGAAGTAGATTCAAGGCTAAGACAGATTTGTAATCAACAAGGGGATCAAGGGTTATGCAAAAAGGCAGAAAAGTGGAGATGAGGGTGATCAGATCAGCCACAGTCTCACTGAATGGTAGGGCAGATGCGATAGGCTGAATAGCCTTATTCTGACCCTGTGCAACACTTCAAATGACAATTTGAAACCATGTTCTTTATTGTCTGGAAAATGGATCAATGGTATTTTGAATTTAATGATTCAACTCTGAAATCTACCAAATCATCAAGAGCTAGTTAACTTACAAATTTATTTACAAGTTTGCCAATCAGAATGATTACAATGCCAGAATTCCATTAATCTATGAAAATCATAAACAAATTCGCTGATATTTGATATTCTGAATTTTTTTACAAGTCTTTGCTAGTTTAGTTTCGAAGGATATATTCATGATTCAAGTAAACACCACTGAATGAAAATGAGTTTAAAATGATACACATACATAAATATATTTTTTAAAAGAATACCTGTAATTGGCTCAATTCCATCCGCAATGCTGCTTGTAAAATTGGAAAATAAAAGTCATGCTTTACACAACTTAATAATTCTAGCAGCTCCTACTGGTTGATTTGGCTACTTGTTGCTAAATAAATTTTTAATTACAACTGAAAGTTGACTGGGTATTTAACTTCAGATTCCACTCTCAATACAAATCTCTTGCATTCATGGCATTTTCTGAAACATTTTCCAAATTCCAAATCACACACATTGGACAGAAGTCTTCTCTAGGCATTGATTTCAGTGAAAATTAAGTTACTCCCTTGGGACAGATACCTAAAAGAATTTCTTACCTGAAGAGGTAGAAATGAAGAAAAACAAAAGTCAATTTAAAAAGTGAACATTCCTAAAGTCACTGCTCTATGTTTAAGTTTATAGAAACATTTCAGATATCCCAATAACAAACTTGAAAATCTTGTTCATGTCAACTACTTCAAACTAATATCATGGTGTTTTAATAGAAGTGGCAGAGAATTGAAAGTGAATTTACTTTTCAGATAATTAAACAGTCACTTCCATATAACATAATTGTTTCATAAAGAGGACAGCAATGCTAATCTAGCCATGTAACAAGATAATGCCCAAGAGAGTAGATTACTGATAAAAGCAACAAATCCTTGCTCATTTTTAAAACTTTTTTTTAATATAGTGTACCTCCAGGAGTGATTTTATGTTGATCAGCACAAGATCAATTAAAGAGAGAATTGTAATCAACCTTGAAACCAGCAGGAAATTGTTAAAATTTTCTGATATATAAAACTGTTTAAGATGCCAGCAGTCTACTTCTATTTGATTGTTCCATTTGACACCTAGTTAACTCTACGCTGAAACAGCTATTCCATGCCAGGACTGGATTTTGGCCAGGTGGAACATAGGGGTACAACACAGATTTTAAAAGCTCCAGATGATCTATAATAAAGCTATTTTGTGGTATTGCAATAAACTATAAACCCAGTTACTTCTCAGAATAGATTACCTATCTGTTCTGAAACAACTCCTCTGTGCTAAAGTAACTAAAATAAAATTGAGGCAAAGAAGATGGAATTCTTGTTCCTGATCATTATCTATAGTGCCCTGCTGTAAACTATGCATACGGACACTGATAAAGGATTGTCTTGGACTCCCTTCAATCATGAGTTGAATACTAATGTGCAATGCTTTCATTCAGGCAAAGGAACAGAACTACATTTAACCCCCTCATGGCTATTACATCACGTAATGAGATCACAGCTAATCTGTGACCTATATGTATGTAACCACCTTAGTCTTATACGCCTTAAATCCTTTGACTAGCAAAATCTATCAATCTTTTATTTTTAAACAAACAATTAATCTGGCATCAATTACCATTGAAGAAATGAGACGCAACATTCCAGCACCCTTTCTATGTGCAGGGACATTTCCTAGTTTCAGTCTTGAGAGGTACCTCTAATGTTTAGGCTATTGCCCCTAATCCTAGACTTAATATCTCAAACTTTGATCAAATCACCTCTCATCTTTCTAAATTCTAATGAAAACAATCCTACTTTGTTTAATCACCTTAGTTCTTGGAATCCAGGTATCATTTCAGTAACTCTATGTTGCGCTCGCTCAAAAGTCAATATCTGCTTCCTGAGGTTTAAACCCCAGAACTAAACACAGTACTCATGCTATAATCAGTTAATAGAGGTATTATGGCTAACCATGTACAAGGAAATGTTTCCTAACCAATGTCAACACTTCCTGTAGAGTAAAAAAAATTCACAAAAAAACAAGATTAAACATAATGAAGCATCAGAAAGGAAAATAGTTCAGGACTAGCAATCACTATTTCACAAAGTTTTAATGACATCTTAATAACAAGTTCTCAATCTAAAAACCCCAATGAGATTTTCATTTTAGAATGAAATTTTCCTACAGTTGAGGTAGGTAGCTTACTATTTTGCTGAAATTATTTTGCTGAAATAATTTATAAGCAAACTTAACAAATATGTTGTAACATTTTCTCCTTAAACAGGAACTTTGTGCCTAGTGCCCCAATAGTGAACAAAAGTTAATTGTCAAGCCATTTAATAGTTTTCATTTAGTACATTACAACAAAAAATTCACAACACAAACAAAGGAACTTCTCAGTAAGTATCCACTAAGAACAGGAGGACTTAAAACACAGGTTCTAGCATTGAAGGAAACCATTTAAAAGAATATAAAATTATATTTCTCAGAAACACTTGCATAGACAGAATGACAAACAGTTCCCTTCGGAACCCGCTGGATTTGATCTGTTTATAGAACAGATCTTAAAACTGGAATGCAAGTAAAATGGACTCCGTTGCAAACATTCTACAATATCATAGAAATAATAATACCTTCTCATAGAAACAGAGAAAAAGGATCGATCTGCCATTCAAGAGTCAAAACTACGCTAATTATTTAAATAGAGTTTATTGGTCAGCAGTGTGGTTGCTAGGAAATGGTGGCTATTTTGTTCAAGATTTTCTCCATTGCCAAGACAGTTGTTGAAGCTTAAATGTTGAGCACTCTGTTACCTGGAGACTGGAACAGTTGTAGTTCATAAAAATTATACATCATGGGCTAAATTATGCAACCTATTCTCTTAAATCAATTTCAAAATGTTTCTGGCAAATGCTCAAGACATTAAATCTCGATAAAGATATGTAATGAAGCTTGTATAAAACAGAGACAGATGCATCAGGTTCAGTAAAATGCCTGTCTGGACAAGGAGATGCATAACTATAAAGAGAAGACAAAATACTTCACAACACAGGAACATGCAAGATCATATCACTACATACTCAACCATGATTAAAGATAAACTCCGAACAATAAAAAATATTTTAAAGAAATTTATTTTGGATAGGATTATTTTTTGGCCAGGGGAATATAAACAGACTCTAGGATGCCTTACCTTGAGAAAGCATCATCAAGACCATCATCCTCTTCCTGCAAAAGAGCAGTAGGAAATCTTGTTAAACTGTGCTACCATTAACTAATGTCTCATAGATCTGGCTTATTTATTAAATTAACATCACACAGATCTATTTTTCTAGATGTCAAGCTGAGATTTAGCAACCTTTTCTTCCATTGTTTGCCATATTGCGACATTAAACACATTCTAAAGAACACCTAAGACCAAAAACAGATCAGCATGTTTAATTTACCAATCTGACTATCCTCATGGTGTAACTGAAGGCAAATTAGTATCAGCTATATTACATTTAGAAATATTTTTGAGGTGACAACCCTTGGCTTTATTTTACTTAACAGCTTTATTGAGTTAAACTACATCCGATTCAAGCCATGCCCATTAAATAAGTTCTTCAAACCAGCATTGTCACCCAGTTTCTTGCAGATAATTCAACTTGTATATCTTACACCCACCTCACAACTTCAATTAAATGTGCCCTCAACTCATACAAATTACGCAGCAACACTAGAGTCAGACAGTGAGTAAGAATCTAGATAATGGAATTTTGTTTGAAAGTTACACACACGTTATGCTACAGTACACAAGTCATTAAAAGTAGATGGACAGGTAGAGAAAGCTGTCAATAAAGCATTCTAAGCTTCATAGATATATTGAGTACAAAAGTAGGGAGATTTTGATGAACTTACACAGGATACCAGTTAGACTTCAACTGGAGTATTAGGCACAGTTATGGGTGGCACACTAGAGGAAGGATATGAATGCACTGGATAGCGTACTGAACAGTTTATGAGCATGATTTTATAGATAAGGCATTTCAGTTATAAGGACAGGTGGCAAAACTTTGAACTGTTTTCCCTGGTGAGCAGCAGCCAAAGAGGAGATTTGTTAGCTATCTGCAAAATCATGAGGGGTCTGGACACAGTGGATTGGTCAAAATTGTGCCTACTTCAGAACAGATCATGAACCAGAGGGCACAGTTTTAAAGAGTTCTGCAAATAAAGAAAGCTTTTGAGAGGTAAGAAAAATCTTTTTCACACAGAGTTAGGATACAGAATGCTCTGTAGGGAACTGTGGCAGAAGCAAGTTCAGTGGGGACATTGGATGATAATTTTAAAAAAACTTACACGGTTACAGGGAAAAAGCATGACTTTGGCACCAAGTTAAAATGCTCAGACAGCTGGTGCTGACACAATAGGCTGAATGGGCTCCTTTTGCACCGTAACACTTGTAATTCTTTAAATTGTAGTGTATTTACCAAAACAAATTTTGGCTTGTAGTCAAACTGAACGCACATTCAACCAATCAGATCTCTTTTTTCTGGAATTTGGTTGAATCAAGCATAATAAGGCAAAAAGGGCCCGGATAGATGAAGTACCACCAACATTAGGCTCCTTAGCTGCGTGAGGAGAGGATCCTGCCTCTTAATGAAACATCCACGTCCTACCAACGGAGTAAGTACCACTCCTCATTCCACAGCAACTCTCACAGTAACCACGCTGTCTGTGCTATCCATTGAACACCATGTTTAACCACTGGCTGCAACGTCTTCTCTCTCTTTTGTCTCCCAGCTGTCCCACCTTCTCTCTTGTAACTTCCTGCTGCCCCCAGCATGTCCACCAGCTCCGCAAAGATGCAGCTACCTCCTCAAATCGGAGCATGAGGTTACTGAGGAATCCTCAGAGAAAGAATTAGCAAGGTTATTTCTTGTACCCACCACCAGCGGGAAAGTTAACGTAAGAAACTGCGGGAACACAATCTGATGAGCTCCTCACAGACAGCTCCACAGCCAACCAAGGACGGACTGCCAAATGCAGATACCAGCTCAACCCCAGGCAGGAAACGACCCTGTAGTTTCAGCAATCAAGAACATTGTCCACTTTGACAGGGACAGTAACAGCAGACAGTTGTGAGAGATGTAATGGCCCTTAATGTGTAAAAACTGCAACAGTGCAGTGCAGTCAGTCACGCAATCGTCTGAAACAACAGAACAGTTGGCAGCTGCCATGGAGATTCAGATCCAGCCTGCTCAGGGTCTGCTCGAGAGGCGCAAATACCTGCACTCCATCACTCCAACCAATGGTCCAGAGGACAGATGGTATGGCCATAGGGAGAATGGGGAGCCTGGCATTCATTCTATTTGCATCTGGCAAGACGACCCTTGGCATGGACAGGCCACAAACTAGCACCCTGGGGTCACCCACTCAAACGTCCAGGTCCAACAGGCTCAACTGCTGAGCAGGTTCCTTCCACTCCAAGTGCAGAACCTGGAATATGCTAAACATAGCGTGGGAGAGAGAGGAAGAAGAAAACCTATTGGATGCACCTTGGTGGCCCAGATAACAATGCAACGTACACTATTTGATTTGTTTATGTATATTGTACTGTATAGGGCTTATACTTGATTTTGTCTGTGTGTAGTCTGAATATAACCGTGCCAGCATTATGCCCAATTCCATGACACAATGTATTATAGATGGAAATTTGAGGTGACAGCATGTTGCAGCATCTGGAAGCAAGAGGAACAAGGGCTGCTGACATCTTTGGTCCTGACCCTTAGAACATTCCTATTCATTTCCAGTCACAGTCCAATAATGTTCATGTCAATGAGTTGGTCAGTGATATCTGGGACAGACAGATGCACAGCAAAGAGAGGGGCGATGCATAAGGATCACCACAGATCAGGGGCCCTGCAGGTCTGTGTCCTGTACGATGTGAGGGTCTACGTTAAAGTTCTTTCCCTTTCAAAGTGATAACATCAGTGGGTCCTGCAGATCCCTTCCTCAGAGGTTGAGTCACGCCACTCTTAGTGAGGCCCCAGCCAATTTCTTCCTCACTATGCATTTCTAATTCCAGCACGATGGAAGGTGGCAGTGGGTGGCCCTTGACCAGTGGTTAGGAGCCTCCACCTCCATGTATCAATATCCAAAACCCTTTTGTTATAGCCTTTCCTGTAAGCCCCATATGCTTATATGCCTCCGCAGGACCTCAACCAACCTGTCTACATGACCCTGCGCCTGCTCATTTGACCCCACTGCCCCAGCATATGAGGTGATCATGCCAGGAGTGATCAAACACTGTTCACCCAGAATGCTCTTGACCATGAACCAATCACTCTCCCAAATGGCCCCTTTCCCATCCTCGCTTTACTTTATAACCCTCTCGTAGATACCAATGCCCCATCCCAAAGAACAGTTCCCCAGATCTCCTACACATGGCAGTAGCAGCTTATGCACCCCAACATTTTCTCCCTAGTTCCTGTGAACAGACCCAATGGACTAACCAAGGTCCAGTCCCACGAGCAACTGAACCGGATAGCCCTGGACGCGATGTGCCTCACACTCCTGTTTGTGGCTGTACAACTCCCTAACCATGTTAGCTCACCACCGGACTGGCTGCTATGGAGCCACAGGACTCTCTCTCTGTGCTGCAGAGGCATGGACTCCTGACCTAAGACACTGTGACTGGACACATGACCGCAGCCAATCCTCTGGACTGATACTGAAAGCTGCACTCGACTTACTGTGCCAGGACTCACCGTGGGCTTCGCTGAGACAAAGCACAAATGGTATGAGCATACAGGCTGGCGCTAAGTGAGCGAACACTAACTGAGTGAGCCAGCAGCCCTGAGTGAGCCCCAGTTGTCCACACTTTGAGCTGAGTGCCTGTCCCTGTGCGCAAACTGTCCCTGCTGCAGACATTTCATGCAATGAAAGTCTGTACTTCTAGAACTGTGCTGCTGGAGTTTCGGAGAAATGCTGTAATGATCATGACATGCCAGATGCTAATGTCCATAGATGAGAAGTGCATGCAACTGGTACTTTGGGATCATGCCTCGAGATGCTATTTGATCAGACACAATATGGAGACCATTTGAACAAGCGGTGAGCTGAATTCACCAGGTACATGCTCTGATTTCCATATCACATTTTCTCAACATCTAGCTTGTTTGGCTCATTTGGTATGTTACGAAGCTGAATATTAATCAGATGAGTTGGGCCATTAACAAGGCACTTTAAAAAGTTACAATTCCCTCTGAATTGGTAACTTGTCACTTCATTGTGAGAAACAGATGACGCTTCTTAAAAAAAAAAATGGAGCAAGATGGTTCCAACAGAGATCAACCATGCCAGAATTCTAGTATAATTCGGCCAGAAATCTCACCTTAGCCTTTATTATTTAAACCCCTGTTAGATTCTGCCCATTAAGTCTATAAGGAGGGACAAAAAATATTTGTTCAAAGTCTCAGCCGCTTCCTTGTTCATTATATTTCTCTTCTCTGTGTTTACTTATACCAATTCCATATACACTTACACATTTGTAAAAGCTCAGGATTATTTGGATGGATAGAAAGTCAAATGAGTGAGTTACATTAGGAGCAGAGGTTCAGGAATCAATAAGTTTGCTAAGTACGTTCAGAGAGAGAAAGATAGCCAAGTGCAGACACTTGAAGTGAAGAACTGACAGTCTTTTCAGGAAATAAATAAATGGAGAAATTGAAAATAAAAACAGAAAAGGAATTAGATAAAGCAGATGGGTGTAGAATATTGAGACTATCAATTGAGGGAAACTTGAAGAAAGCTAGGAAAATAGCAAGAAGTTGCCACTAGTCTCATTAAGATTATGGTGACAACAAATGGATATTGCTATCAATAATTAATTGCTGACTTTCCAAATCCTCCCAATCATCAAGCTTTCTATTCTTTTCAGTGACATTGTAAATTTCTTCTCTTAATCCAATACTATTTTTAATATTTCCAGCTAGCCATGGTGCGTCAGCTTCGCAGGGATATTTTTATTCTTCAAGGGAATATGCATTTTGGAGTACATCAAACTATTTCTTTAAATATATACTATTGTTCATCTATCATCATGTTTTAAAATCCGATTTCCTAATCTGCTTCAGGCAACTCACCCTATTTACCTCGGGGATAATTAGCTTTGTTTAAAAATAAGTCCTTGACTGCAATAGCCACTTGTTTTATACAGTGGCATAATTACTTGATAGAAAAGTCTTTGCAAATAATTTGATTATGGTATAACATCTGTGTATCCCTCAATATCTTCACAACTGGTTTTAGTTTGTGACGGTGTGTCTTACTAATAAGGACAAGTTTAAAGACAGTATCCATTTGCTTAAATTCCCAATGAAAAATTCAAATACAGGTGGATAGACTGCACCTCAAGGCTACACTACATGGTAGAGTAGCTTCTAGTCTTACTTAATTTGACATCACCAGAATGTGATTTTGATCTGATAAAGCCTCATACTGCTTCAACCCTTTCCAATAAAGAACTGCACAGGAATCTGCAGCTTATCCAGATGACCATCTGGCTGTCTGAGTCTGCTGAGCACAAAATTCTGAATGTCTGTTAATCCTTTTTGCAGTCAAGTTGTATAAGTCATTTCTAATACAAGCCATGCATCACTAAACAGATTTTTTTAACTATGCGAAAACGATGATATCGCACAATGTGGTTTCTATTCTGGCATCTAATCCAGTAAAGTCAAGCAGAGCAAAATATATATTAATTATGCTATTTAGATAAGCACATTCAGATAACAACAAAGTTGTACCTACATCAGGTACACGATCTTACCACGTAGATCGCTTGTTGGTTGAAATAACCAGCAAGATCGGTAATGGCATCCATTTTTATCTAATATGGAGCATTTTAGTCCAAAACATTTAGGAATGAAAAACATATCAATGCTCAAGTAATGCAATGAGCTTCAACTAATATCATAAATAATTCTAAAGACAAAAGACAATTTTAAAAACATACCCAAGAGAGTGCATGTAAAGGGGACCCACAAGATGGACTGTTTTGCCTTGTGATGCCTAGATGGACATCAGTTGGTGAGATAATTGGATTCTGGACTCGGGTTACTTTGTGATCCTTTGCTGTAGTTGCATCTGAACATTATGAAATATAATATAAAAATATCTTTTCAATTTTAACATTAAACTCACTGTGTATTGCAACAACATAACCTGTTAATGAGAAGAACTGAAACTACTTAAAAGGTGGCTTACACTTTACCTTTCTCAATATGTCCTGTCGCTCCATTAAAAGCTGCAGTTTCAGGGCTATTACACAGCTCATGTGTCTTTTTACATTTTTCTGAAAATACAAACATGTGAACTGAATTCCCATGTCATTGCCCATTGAATGCTCATATTAGAGATTATTGTGTTTTACCACGAATACATTTTACGCACAATTACATCTAATTGCCTCAAGAAGATTTCCCAAAATCAGAAAGACAGTAATTTCATACAGTCAACCAAATGCTGGTCAGGAAACATTGCATGCTGATGATATTTTCCTTCACATGTCAGATTAACACTTAAGAGAAAGCACAGGTTTTTCTGCATATAATTAATTATCGAGAAACTGCAAAAATTTCAAATATAACATTTCCAAGTTTACATGAGAAAACTAGGTGGAACCGTGAATGGTGAGGAGCACATAAACAGGCTTCAAGGTGATACAGGCGAGTTGAGTAAGTAAGAAAGAACGTGGCAAATCCAGAATAATCACTGCATTGTTATGGGGCAAGAGGCGGCCATTTGGCCTATCATGCCTTTACCATTTCTTCAAATGAGCATCATTTCCTGCTTTTGCTGCCCCATACCCTAGGCATTACTTCTATTCAAATAAGCATCCAAAACATTCTTGAATGCCTCAAAATGAACAAGCCTCCACATTTCTAGGCAGCACATTCTGTAACTTAACTACTCACCATGTGAAAAAGCATTTCTTTTTTTCCTCATCACATTTGCTCCTTTTGCCAATCACTAAATCAATGCCCACTGGTTTATTTCCTTTTATTAACCAAAACAATTTTTTCTCATGTATGCTATCCAAACCACACACAATTGTGAAAACTTCTCTTAACTTTCTTCTCTCCAATGAGTCCTAAACAAAAACAGAAGTTGCTGGAAAAGCTCAGCAGGACTGGCAGCATCTGTGGAAAGAACTCAGAGTTAACGTTATGGGTCCAGTGACCTTTCTTCTAATGTGATAGTAGCTAGGAAAATGTCAGTTTATGTGTTGAAGATAGGGTGGGGTAAGGAAGAAACGATAGTTGAGGATACAGCCCAAAGGGAGAGAAGAACATTTGAGCTAACAAAGGAGTGAATAATAATCTGGCTAGGGGAGTGAATAGATGTTAATGGAGACCGTTAGTGGCTAACAGTAGGTAGTGCATAATGGCAGGCTGTGTGATAACAAGGCCTGCTGTATGGCGTTGGGGGCTAGGACGTGGGAAGAGTTCGGGCCCTTAAATTATTGAACTTGATATGGAGTCTGGAGGGCTGCAGGGTCTCCAAGCAGAAAATGAGGTGTTGTTCTTCCAGCTTGTGCTGAGCTTCGCTGAAACACTGCAGCAAGCCAGAGACAGAGATGTTGGCCAGGGAACAGGGTGGTGTGTTAAAGAGGCAGCTCCGGGTATTTTTTGCGAGCAACGTAGATGTTCTGCGAAGCGGTCACCCGGTCTATGCTTCGTTTCCTCAATGTAGAGGAGACCACATTGTGAGCACGAATGCAATAGACTAGATTGTGTGAAGTGCAGGTAAAGTACTGCTTCACCTGGAAGGTATGTTTGGGCCCTTGGATACTGGAGAGGGAGGAGGTAAATGGGCAGGGGTTGTACCTTCGGCAGTTGCAGGGAAAGGTACCTTAGGCTGAGGGGTGTTGGGGGTGAAGGAAGAGCAGACCAGGGTGTCCAGAAGGGTACGGTCCCTGTGGAAGGCAGACAAGGGAGGGGAGGGGAAATGTGTCTGGTGGTGGCATCCACTGAAGATGGCGGTAATGGCCGCTAATGATCCTCTGGATTTCTTTTCAGGCATGAAGAGAAATTTCTTTTCACACAATTTGCAACAACTCAGACACACAGCCCTCTGGAACCTTCCTCACTTCCCGTTCCCTCTGACTCCATCCCCTCCTCCTTTCAGGTATTCACGATCCCTCCTAACCTTCTCCTCTCCGATGCTCAATGTTCTGTGCTCAGCAAAGGTCTCAGTCTTATCCCTCTGCATCCCCACCTTAATGAATTTAGGGCACTACATGACGTTGAATTCTTCTTCCATAGTCTTCACTTCCGTGCCCATTCCTTTGGGCCCCTTCACCCAGCTTCAGCACTCTCCCTCCACCTGGACCCCTCCCTCTGGCCTCTTACCTGTACTCGATCTGTTCATTTGAGAACTGATACCGTGACATTGGTCACCTCAATTTCTCTGCTTCCATCACACAATCCAACCTGTCTCCCTCCAAACTGACTGCACTCTGTGTGTTTAGATTCAACCCTGACTTTGTTATTAAGCCTGCAGATGAGGGTGGTGCTGCTGTAGTCTGGCGTACTGACCTCTATGTTGCAGAGGCTGAGCACCAGCTCTCAGATAACTCCTCTTAGCTTCCTCTGGACTATGACCCCACCATGGCACATCAGGCCATTGTATCAACTATAGTCACGGACCTCATTTCATCTGCTGATCTACCCCCACCACTGCCTCCGAGCTGATAGTCCCATAGCCCCGCACAGCTCGCTTCTACCTCCTGACAAAAATCCACAAACAGGACTGCCCGGGCAGACCCGTTGTTTCAGCCTGCTCCTGCTCCACAGAACTCATCTCTTCCTACCTTGACTCAGTCTTTTCTCTCCTGGTCCAGTCCCTGCCCACTTACATCCGTGATTCCTCTAACACTTAATGCCAGTTTCAGAATTTCCAGTTTGCAGGTTCTAGCCACCTCCTCTTTACCATGGGTGTGCAATCCCTTAACATGTCCATCCCCCACCAGGATGGTCTCAGGGCTCTCCGTTTCTTCCTGGAACAAAGGCTTGAGCCATCCCTACCCACCATCACCCTCCTCCACTTGGCTGAGCTCATCCTCACCCTCAACAACTTCTCTTTTAACTCCTCTCATTTTCTCAGGTCAGGACCCCCACCCACAACCTTTTCTGCTGTGTATCGATATTATCATTGGTGCTGTTCCTCTCTCTCATCCAGAATTGAGAAAGTTCATCGATTTTGATTCCAATTTCCACTCTACCCTCACTTTCACCCGGTCTATCTGACTCCCTTCCCTTCCTCGACATCTGTGTTTCTATTTCTGGGGATAGACTGGCCACTAATATCCATTACAAACCCACCGACTCCCACAGCTACCTGGACTATACATGCTCACACCCTAATTCCTGTAAAGACTCTATTCCATTCTCCCAGTTCCTCCGTCTCCATTGCATATGTTCCAATGAGGCCAACTTTGACAAGTTAGCCTCCGAAATGCCCTTCTTCCTCAACGAGGATTCCCCAGCACTTTGTTGACAGGGTCCACAAACGGGTACGACCTATCTCCCACGCTTTCGCCTCACACCCCCCCACCCCTTTCCCTCCCAAGGGTTCCCTTGTCCTTACCTACCATCCCACCAGCATCCACATCCAGAAGATCATCAGCCACCATTTCTGCCACCTCCAGCGAGATGCCACCACCAGACACATATTTCCCTCCCCTCTCTTGTCTGCCTTCTGCGAGGATTGTTCCCTGTGGGACACCCTCATCCACTCTTCACTCCCAAAACACAGCCCCACGGCACCTTTCTCTGCAACTGCTAAAAGGTGTAACACCTGCCCATTTATCTGCACTTCACACAATCTGGTCTACCGTATTCACTGCTCACAATGTGGTCTCCTCTACATTGGGGAAATGAAGCATAGACTGGATGACTGCCTCGTAGAACATCTACATTCTGCTCGCTGTTTTGTGGGATATGAGCAGAATGCTAGCAAATGGGACTAGGTCAGATTGCAATGTGTGGTCAGCATGGACAGGATGGGCCAACGGATCTGTTTCCATGCTGTATGACTCTTTATAAAATTCGGACAGGGCTGGACAGTCTGGGTGCAGGGATGATATTCCCCCTGGCTGGGGTATCCAGAACAAGGTGTCATGGTCTCAGGATATGTGCTAGACCAAATTGGACTGAAATGAGGAGACATTTCTTCACTCAGAAGGTGTTGAACCATTGGAATTCTCTCCCACAGAAAGCTGTGGAAGTGAGTAATTTAAATGTTTACGAAATAAAGAGATAGATGCATCAAGGGTATAGGGAGACAATAAGATGGAGCATCAGTGCCAACCATGTTGAGTGATGGGGCAGGCATGATGGGCCGAATGACCTAGTTCTGTCTGTATTTTCTATGTTTCTGTGAGGTCCTGCCATTGGCCCTGCTCCTGCAGTGGAAAGTATATTCCCCATGCGAAGACCCAATTTAAAACTTTGCTACTTTTCAAATTAGGGTTTTAAATAAGATGCCATTTCATCGAAGCTCAAATTTTACTTTTTACCTCCATCGGGAATAATGATTTGCTCACTGCCTCATTTGGTGGCTCATCTACACAGTATCCATCTCCTCAGTGGTCTCTTGATTCAAAATGATATCTACTCAGGGTTGCATGTTTTTGCTGAGGGTCTTCACATGGCAGGATATCCCATGACAGTGTGATCCAGAGGGCCTTATCTTTCCATCTTTGGCACTGCCCTGTCCTATCAAGGTATTTGGACCAAAACATAATGCAGCAGACAGACCACTTGTTCCCACTTTAAATCCTCTCTCAAGACTACCAAAGATTATATAGATGCAGCGTTACCATGAGTCCGCTACTATTCACCCTGCCTGAGGTTATAATCGATCAGATGGGTGCAGCACTACAATGTGGTTTCATGTCACCATTAGCAATAGAACAAGGGAACAGACAAATGGATAATTACTGCAATGTTGCTTACAAAGATTACATGTCTGCAGCACTTCCCATTTCTCCACGATTTGACCAAGAGATCCAACAGAAACAAACGCTATCACAAGCAGATCCAGAGTTGACAAATAAAACACACTTCAGGAATTTAATACATCACTAAATTAGACAGCTAATTATGTCAGTATCAATTTTTAATCCAGTTATTTTGCTGAGAGTTTTCCAATAAAAGATAATAACTTATTAAACAAATAAATATTATTGGTGTAAGTTGCGATGTTGGATAGAGTTTTTGTGGATTGGGAGGCAGGGTATTAGACTTTGGTGTTTGTAAAACGTTAGAGGGGAAAGCATTGCATGGTCCC